AAAGAAAAATGAACAGTCAGATTAAAAAAAAAAAATGGGCACAGAACCTGAATGGACATTCCTCTAAAGGACATACAGAAGGCCAATAGACACATGAAAATATGCTCAACATCACTAGTTATCAGGGAAATGCAAATTTAAACCACATCGTGATATTACCTCATACCTGTTAGAATGGCTATTATCAAAAAGACAAGAAGTAACATGTTGGCAAGGATGTGCAAAAAAGGGAACCCTTATGCACCTGCTGGTGGGAATGTAAACTGGTACAGCCACTATGGAAAACAGTTGCTCAAAAAATCAAAAATAGAATTGGCATACCATCAAGCAACCTCACTTCTGAGTATTTAACTGAAGAACACAAAAACACTAACTTTAAAAGGTATATGCACCCTATATTCACTGTGGCATTATTTACATTAGCCAAAATGTGGAAACAACCTGGATGTCCATCAACAGATGAATGGAAAAAGAAGATACACACACACACACACACACACACAGATTACTCAGCCTTAAAAAAGAATGAAATTGACAGAAAACAGCAAAATTCTGTAAAGCAATTATCCTTCAGTAAAAAATAAATTAATTTAAAAAAGAATTAAATCATGCCATTTGTCACAACATGGGTAAATTTATACTGTATTTTAAAAGCCAAATGCACAAACTGTAACTAAAACTCTGTACTAATGGACATGATGTATAGAGATCTAATTTGTGACAATAACATAAAGAGGGAAAATGAGCGGTAAAGAGAGACTTTTACTCTTGAAACTAAGCTGATATCAATTCAAACTTAGGTGTTACGTAATTAAGACATGGTACACTGGGCTTCCCTGGTAGCTTAGGCAGTAAAGAATCTGCCTGAAATGCAGGAGACCCAGGTTCGATCCTTGGGTCGGGAAGATTCCCTGGAGAAGGGAATTGCAATCCACTCTAGTATTCTTGCCTGGAGAATACTGGACATGGGCAGAGGAGCCTGGTGGGCTACAGTCCATAGTGTCCCAAACAGTCAGACATGCCTGAGTGACTAACACACACCGTAGAGAAACTGCCAAATTATTTTGTATGTTGGCTGCAACTTTTTACATTTCCACCACAGGTTCAAGGGTTCCAAATTTTTACATCCTTGCCAACACTATTATCCATTTTTTAATGAATTATCGCCATCCAGTGGGTGTGAAATGGTATCACTGTGGTTTTGATTTGCAGTTCTCTAAAGATATTGGGCATATTTTCATCTGTTTATTGGACATTTACATATCTTCTTTGAAAACATGTCTAATCATATCCTTTGCTATTTTAACTGCTTTTTATTTGTCTTTATTGAGTGGCAAGAGTTCATTATATATTTTGGATACCAGTTCCATATCATATATATGATTTGCAAATATTTTCTGTCCTATGAGTTGTCTTTTTATCAATGGCATCCTTTGAAGCATGTTGCTAATTTTAAAGCCAAACTGAGTAAGTTTCATGGTTTTGCTGAGAAGTGTTTAAGGAAAATACTTCTTAATCATTATATTATTCATCAAATCCTGTTACTGATGTAGTGGAGTCAACACTTGAGTTACTCAAGATATCCAAGTCACTGGTTTATTAAATCATTCTAACTCTTAGGATATTCTGGTAGATTGAACTCTGGGGACAAAGATGCCAGAACAAAACTATTTCAGGGAAGTTTGATTAACCAAAAATGATTTTTTGCTTCAATCACAATAGAAACTTATCTGTATATGCTTTAAGTTATGACTGGTAAAAAAAAAAAAGCTGAAACGTTACAGTCCCTATAATAAAGAGGCTGACTTCATTTTTTAAACTTTGACTACTTGATAGGTTTCAAGCCTCACCCCTCCCTCTCCTCTGCTCCACATATGAATAAGTTGATATCTTCCCCCTCTGCCCCACATTTGGGCAAGCTGATCAGAAAGCCAAGATGCTTCCTCCTTAGGCACTGGCAAAAGTTCAAACCACCTGCAGGAACCCTCACTCTGAACCCATCTCCTAGCTACCATAAAACCCAAAGGTCATCTTCTTGTCCTATTCTCTTAAAGCTATTTTCAGACCTGTCTGGGAGCTACCCTGCTCTGCCCAGAAAGCCTCATTAAAAACTTTTTACACTGTCTTGGTGTGTATATATGTGTGACATTATCAATATCGGCATCTGAACAAAATCTGGAGTGATGATGTATTTCATTTCTGAGGGGTGGCCACAACAGTCCCCGAAAAGAAAATAATTTTTTCTGTTCAATGGAGCCATGTTTCTTGCAGAATGAAGAGAGAGAAGGAATTAACTGTGTTGTTCATCTAGGCTATCTTTGGAAATTTTAATATTATATTTCAAAACTTTACTACATATATAATGACATTAATGGATTTATGTAAATCATAAAAGTTCCTACCACTATTCTTGGTATACCAGAAAAATCACATTAACGGGAATCTCAAGTGGAAAAGGTACAACCTTTGAGTCATTTCCTTTGGTTTTTTATCCACTTGAGATTTATATACCAAAGGATGACAGCCACAGAAGTTTGTTTTTCATATCAGACTGGTTTTGACTCAGAAGAAATCATCTGTTATGAAAACTGAAGGATGGGAGTGTGCCTCTTCGCTTAAAGAGTTTTGTGCTTGGTCACTGGTTCACTGAGGGATGAACTGTTAGTTGTGGACCATGATTTCTCACCTAAGGTGTTTCAGAGAACCTGAAGTCCCCTGTAGGTTGAATGCAGGTCACGTAGTAGCATATAATGCAGACAGTGGAAAGATACTGAAGGATATTGTGCCTTGAAAGCCTTGCTAGGGAATCTGGTGATATGTAGATGGATTTCCTCTGAAACTTCCTCTTTTTAAAATTAAGGGCACAGCAAAGGGTCAGTAGATGCTAATGATCGAGTTGTATTGTAGGAAGAGTTCTTGTTTTACTTAATGACAGGGAAGATGAGAAATCTACACTGGTTTTACCCAAAGCCAGCAACATACTGAGATAAGTAATATCTGGATCAGCCCTGATACTACATGGGTTTGCTTGAATTATTTTTCCAGGAAAGGAGATGAAACAAGAGACGAGCAATGGGGTTTCAACTTCAAGTACACCCCAGGAACAATTTGGAAACTGACTCTGCCTTCCATAATTACCACCCAATAAGAAACCATCAGCTTCTTGCTTTGATACACCTACACATCCTACACTCACCCTTCTCTTTAGCTGATGGAAAATTCTACAGCTATCAACTGTTTTAAGTGTGTGCTCCATAGGGCATTTGAGACACAGAACACTTCCAAAGGGTCTGGTCCAACAGTTCTGTGAAGACCCCAATTCTGAAGGCAGCACCCACAGATGGAATTCCAGGCTATGGGAGTTCTGTGGATTAAAAACAAGTTATAAAGAACTTCAAATATCATCTAAGTTGCAACTGTATGTTGCAAAAAGCCGGCCTGCATTTTTTCACCCTTAATGCACATGTATGGCTGTCCTTCATTTCAACTCCTAGATATACAGAAGATAGATTCAGATTTGACCTTAATAGAAATTAAAGATAATTGCTAAAACTAGGGGCACATGACATCTTGTAGAGATTTTTCAGTTTAGGCCTTCTCCTCAAAGACATAAAAAGTAAGGAGAGAGAGTTCAATAGAAAGACCAGTATTTGTACACTGCATTTTCCAATACTGGCAGTTAAGGAAAGAGGATGATAACAGCAAAGGAGATAGAAGGTAGGAGAGGCAAAGCGGACCCCAGATCCCAATCTAAACTCTGGCATTCTATGCCACAAACTCTTAACCAGAACCTAGGTTCTGTTAGGTATAAACAGGAGGAGCTGAGGTAGTATAGACAACATGGCTTCAGCTCTGTAAACTGTACAAATAAATAAAATAGTGGGATTAGGGGAATTAATTTCTTCCTAACCACACACTCCTAAAGGACTTTGGTACCCTGTGGCTGTCTCAAAGAGCTGAGCTCTGATCAAAAGGGATCAGCACAAACAAGGCACTGTCATCAAGCATAGGTGTAAATCACCAAGTCCGAAGCATTGGTCAGCAAATAAAAGCAAATATGAGAGCAAACAGTCATAAAGATGGGGCAAATGAGATTATCCATGAAGCAATTTCTGTGGTTAGACCTTAGAAAGGCACTCCTCTGAGACCCAGGAATACAGGGGGAGGGAGCCTCACATGAAGCAGTAAACAATACCCCAAAGATGGGCACCTGGATGTTGAGGACACAATGAGACTGGGTCCTTTTAGAACCACACTACCATGGCTTTGCTAGTTGGGGATGAGAACCAGGAATTTTCTTGAAGGTTAAAAATCTTCCTGATGAGACATCATATGTGAAAGGCTAAGCACAAGTTCTGAGACTCAGACTGGAATGAAAGCATCTGTGTTTCTTTACTCCTAAAGTCTACGTCTTTACCCCTTTTCCCAGATCTGCCCAGATGTCAGCTAGTAGCACAGTCCTGTCTTCTTGTGTACAAAGTGATTCTCCTTCTTGAACATGTTGAAACTAAAGGATCTGTCAACATAAACTTGTTGTTTGTACCCCGCTACAGACACAGACAGTGCTCTTTATAATCCTGTTATTGGTGCTTTATCCCTCTGACTAGACTTCAACTGAAGAACTAGGACAAGGTTTTCACCAGTTTTAGCATGCAACTTTATTCACATGTAATTGAAGTAGTAAATGAATACACTTATGTTAATATAAAGCACAGAAGTATAACTTACTCAGGACGAATAGGTTCATTATCAGGTCATATTGCAAAAATACTAAAAATATCTGAACTTATATGGCACAATGAAAACCAACAAACATTAAAGCTCTCAAGATCATTTGGTATCCATAAAATTAGCTCCTTCAATCAGCACAGACAGCATAAATACTTAACTTATAAGTTGCATTGGTTTCATATTACAACACCAAAAAAACTGCTAAAGGTTTTGTGAGAACATACAGCTATTCAGAGTTTGAGTATTAATCTTATAACTTTATCTCTCACCTCAGGATCACTGTGCCCTGCTAAGTCTTGTAGTTTCTGACCAAACTCTTTTGCTCCCTGAAATATGGAAATAAGTTCATATTTTGTGAACTCTTCCTTGCTAAATAGCTTCACCTTCTTTTTAAATTGGAAATTTATATTCTCAAATATTTCAATGACATTAAGAATATTGGCCTTTGACTCATTTTTGTTAAAGGGCACAACCAATGATGACAATACTTTGGCACTGATTAGTTCTCTTGTATTGGCTTGATTTTTAGACAAGTGCAAACACACTTTTAAAACATAAAACTTGGTTTTGACACTTCCCTTGTTTAACAAAGTGAGGAAATCTGGAATGTAATTGACAATTATACGGTGGTACTCAAAGTTTACACTCAGCTGCACTAATAATTTTAGTCCAGACAGTTGCACAGGGGAGTTCAAAGGATAAAAGATTATGTCCTTACAAATTTGATTTATGTACAACTCTCCTATTTGTGGTTCTCCAGAAAACTCAGAGTTGTCATCCACCATATTTAAAGTTCTAGGGTGTTCTTTAATATTGGGATTATTGACCAAGTTTTCAATCATAACAGTAATACCTACATCATGAATTATATCTTGGGTAAATGGATAAGCAGGACTGACACCCATTATCATTGTAGCTATTTCATGAATGAAAGGATCCCTAGTTAACTTAAGTAGGGCAACAAGTTTATCAAACTCTTTAGGTTCTAAACTAAAAACATGTGATTTGCAGCGACAGGTTTTTGGATTGGGCCTATACTTTTCCCTATATTTAACCTGCTTTTTGAGCTCAGCTAAGGTCTGAAAGTAAGGCCCATCACAGGGTGGGATTTTGGTCAGAGGTCGAATCCCTAGAGGAGTTTCAATCAAGGTATCAACCAGAGTCCAATTCCCTCCTGGAGGTAAGGATTGCTCCCCTCCATCTACCGGAACTAGGACAGAAAACCTGGCCCTTGACCATGCTTTTGCTTTTTGCTTTATAGTAAGTTCAGGTTTGGGTGTAGGCTTAGGCTTTTCCTGGATCTTAGCTGGAGGCTTATACACTTGAAATGGGTTGTCTTCTTTAGGCCAGAACCAGGATCCTACACTAGGCTCTTCTCCAGTCCAAAACCAAGAACAGGCATTTTCCTCATCCTCATCACCGAACTGAATTACAGTACCAGCTCTGTCCCCAACCTTCAACTTGATGCTGGCCTCGCTCCTTCTCTGGGACCTGGACCCAATTATGTCTTTGGAACCAATGTTGGCTTCACTTCCAGCACCAGCCTTCACTTTATAATTGGTCACAGCACTGAGCCTGGACATAGACATGGCCTTTGACTTGGTTTGGGACACTACACTAGGTTCTGTCAGGGGGGTTGCCTTGGTCTCAGCCATGACTCTAGTCTTAGTCTTAGATTCCATCTTGCTTACTTGCCTTGTCATAGCCATGGCCTCAGCATAGGTCACTGTGTCCTGGCCACTGCTCCATCCCCAGCCTTGGCCTGGGTCACCAGTCCTGTTTTCAGTTCTGCCTCAGCCACTGCCTTGGCGTGGATCTTAGCCTTGGCTTTAGTGTTGGCAGGGCCACAGATGCCAGCTTTCAGGCCAACCCCAGCCCCTCCTCTGCCCTTGCCTCAGCACGGAAGTCAGTCACGATCCAAGTTACAGGCAAGGCCAAGTTATATATCCCCACCCCTGTCTCAGCCTTGACTGAAGGTTTCTCCCAGGTTGGTGTTTTCATACAAAGTCCAGTTGTCACTCAGCCCCCTTTCGAACTACAGGCTCTCAATGATATAAACAACGTGCAGAGGAAGCTCACTCAGGGAAGGGAAGGATGGCTGTGTGCCTGAGCACAGCCCTGTGGAGGGTGGTGGTCTTCAGCCACTCCAAGGCCACCAGATCAGCCACTGAAGTTGGACCTAGGAGTGGAGGAAGGAAATGGGGCTTTGAGTCTTTTTCTAACTTTTTTCCATGTTGATAAGCACAACATGGAAACAGAAAAGTATGGAAATTCAATTCTAAGTGTAGAAGGCAGATAATTAGCAAACTCTTCCTCCATTTCATGCCCCCTACTACTGCAGGTAAAATCAATCTTTTTTCCAGACACAAAACGGGAGTATGGAGAGTGGGAAAGTTGGATGGGAGTGAGAGAGGCTGAAGAATCCCTAGGCTGACTCTTTACCTCTGCTGCACCCAAGCAGATCTCCACTACTTCATCCTACAGGTCTACTGAGGAAGTCTCCACACACACAAACCTTCACTGATCTGCAGTAATTTCCTCCTCCTTTCCTTGTTTCCAGGGATGACAAGACTCACAGCAGACCTAAAGGCAGATCTATGGACAAATAAATAGGAGGATATGCAAACTGATCTCTTGGTAGACTGACCTTGATCCCTGGTCCCTACATTTGTAGTTTGTCTAGTGTTTCCCTCCTTCTGGTCCCTTTCCCCCATTGCCCTGCTTCATTCAGTACCATTCCTCCTCCCTGTTTCCCATCATATTCCTCTTCAGAGACTGCCCTAATATTTCCCTGTTTCAGAACTGGGCTAGGAAAACGAAGTGGAAAGTAACAAAAGCAGGTATTACCCTTCTGTACCCCTAAACCTCATGAAGGCTTCCACCTAAATTGGCAGAAGACTAAACAGGTTAGTAAACTGGCAAAACAGAAGAAACAAATAATTCCATAATCTCAATCGCTCTACCCTCACACCAATCTAAGCAGATACAGGGCTTATTTCTCTTCCTCATTATTTCCAAGCTTCAAGTTGCGTTCCCACTTACAAGTCTTCACAACAACTGAGAGGTATGCAAACCAAAAGACAGATCTACACACAAAGACTCATAAGTGCAGAGATAAATATATAAATACAGATACAGAAGACAGTGGAGATTGAGTCCTTGGTAGAGATCAGCACCTAGGACACTAATCCTTTCTAGATACAAGTACCTGACTGCCAAAAATTTCTCTTTCTTTCTCTCCTCCCCCAAGCCCCAAGCTCCTCTGCTCCATTCTCAGTCTGACAATTCCCCTGCAGAGACAACTCAAAAATCGCGGCAAGACTGTGCTGCTGGTAGGAAGGATAGAATGCTCAAACCATTGAAGTTGTTTTGGAAATCAATGAAAAGTATTATTTTCATGTTCTTATGTTTCCTTCTTCTCCCCAAAGCCTATCATTTTCTTCAACACTATAGGAAAAGGGAGGATGGTTTAGAAAGCTGGCAGAAAGGAGATGCTGCATTACCCCTAGATCCCTACCTGCTCTAGTCCTAGCCACCTACCACACCGAAGCACTGCCCTCTCTACAGAGGTTATGCAAATTTTCTTTTTCTTACTCCTCCTTTTGAGGTTCACTACCCCGTACAGATCACGTTTACAGAAACATGGAGTACCACAAACGTAGAAACAGACCTACACAAATAAACGCATGATATACACTCAATGACCCAATGAAAAGACAGTGGAAGAGACCTGGTTATTAATACTCAGCCTAGTAATCAGGACAGGAGACTCTCTTCTAACCCAGGGCCTTGATTATCAAACACTTACAACCTCTTTTCACACTCTCCCTCCCAGGGCTCTCCAGGCAACAGCTCTCACCAACAGCAGGAGGCCCTCCTCCTCCTATTACTGTAATCCACCATTCCTCCGCTAGAGGCCGCTACTACACTCCTTTCTCTCCCCAAACATGGTGGCGGGGTGCAGTGTCTGGAAGTCAAGCTTGCAAGAGACAGATCATTCATTTATCATTGTGTGCCACGCAAACGACCCCTGTCCCTCTTTGCCTCTCACCAACCCCGTGCACCCCAGGACCAAGTCACATCGCCCACGTTCACCTCTGACACCCGTATCCACACTCCCAAGCAGTGCCCGCCTCTTCATTGACCTGCTCCGCTTGGATGAGAAGTAGTTTTCTCATTTCCTTGCCTCGAGGGGGTGCAGACACCTACGAAAGAGGGACAGACCGTCAGATGAGCTCAAGGACATGAGACAATGGCGCCGACTGTTTGGAGACTGGCCCGGCACCTGGGACTCAGGACGAGATACCTACTTTATCAGATGAAGGACCGCAATTGGCATACGATTGTCACTTTTTGGTATTTCCTTCTTCTTGTCCCCAGGACATCTCAGGGACCCGCTCCTAGTAAATCTTTAACAGCCACCGTTTTCTCCGCAGACTTTGTCCCGCCTCATCCCAAAAAACAACACCGAAAACCAGAGTGGCTAGAGGCGAGTTGAAGGGGATCCGGCTTTACGGAAGCGGAGTGATACCACGCTTTGCATAGCGCCGCTCCTTCCTCTTCCGGCGAGCCCGGTCCCGCCCACCCTGGCTGTTTAGGCTGCTGGAGTGGGCGGTGGCAGAGTTTGGATATAGAGAAAGCCTCTCTGGTCGGTGAGAAGCCGACTAAACGAAAGGATCTGGTACTAGTTCCTTTCTTTTAGAGAACTCCCCTACCGCAAACCTACAGTCTTTTCCCCTGAACTGAAATGTGTACGGCTTTCGGGACATGGAGTCAATGAATCAGCTCTGACCTGATGAGCAGACAGACACCAAAATGTAGTTTTTACACATTCTGCTCTCCGAAGTCTGAGGTCCGCAGCTAGGGGTGGGGTTAGGGGTCTGGGTAAAGGTCGGGAAAGAAGCTCAGGACCGATAGGCTCAAGACTGACACAGGAAGGTAAATTCTCCTCTATTCCGAAACTATGCGTCCCTACCATGAGAGAAGCCCTTCCATGAAAGTTCAGTTCATTCGCTCAGTCGTGTCCGACTCTTTGCGACCCCATGAACTGCAGCTCGCCAGGCCTCCCTGTCCATCACCAGCTCCCGAAGTCCACCCAAACCCATGTCCATTTAGTCGCTGATGCCATCCAACCATCTCATCCTCTGTTGTCCCCTTCTCCTCCCACCCTCAATCTTTTGCAGAATCGCGGTCTTTTCAAATGAGTCAGATCTTCGCATCAGGTGGCCAAAGTACTGGAGTTTCAGCTTCAACATCAGTCCTTCCAATGAACACCCAGGACTGATCTCCTTAGGTTGGACTGGTTGGATCTCCTTGCAGTCCAAGGGACTCGCACGAGTCTTCTCCAACACCACAGTTCAAAAGCATCACTTCTTCGGTGCTCAGCTTTCTTTATAGTCCAACTCTCACATCCATACATGACCACTGGAAAAACCATAGCCTTGACTAGACAGACCTTTGTTGACTAAGTAATGTCTCTGCTTTTTAATATGCTGTCTAGGTTGGTCATAACTTTCCTTCCAAGGATCAAACATCTTTTAATTTCATGGCTGTAATCACCATCCACAGTGATTTTGGAGCCCAGAAAAATAGAGTCAGCCACTGTTTCCCCATCTATTTGCCATGAAGTGATGGGACCAGAGGCCATGATCTTAGTTTTCTGAATGTTGAGCTTTAAGCCAACTTTTTCACTCTCCTCTTTCACTTTCATCAAGAGGCTCTTCAGTTCTTCTTCACTTTATGCCATAAGGGTGGTGTCATCTGCATATCTGAGGTTACTGATATTTCTCCTGGCAATCTTGATTCCAGCTTGTGCTTCCTCCAGCCCAGTGTTTCTCATGATGTACTCTGCATATAAGTTAAATAAGCAGGGTGACAATATACAGCCTTGACGTACTCCTTTTCTTATTTGGAACCAGTCTGTTGTTCTATGTCCAGTTCTAATTGTTGCTTCCTGACCTGTATACAGGTTTCTCAAGCCACTCCAAACTGCCATTCCCAGCAATCCATTTGCCCAATGAATGGGTTGGGGTGTCTGGAAATCTGCTCTGGTCAGATGTGCTGATCAATGTCAAACACCTTGGTCCTGTTCTTCTCTAAGTCTCTGGCCCTTATTGTCTACTTTATTTCTTGCACAGAAATAGTTGAGGGTAAGGTGGGTTGAGAATATAGGGAAAGCACAGATGTATGGAGAGAAGCATATTAATACCATACTAGGCAGGTGTGTACATATACCATTCTTAATACCATACTAGGCAGGTGTGTACATATACCATTCTTATGCCCTGCTTCCCCTCTGAACACCCACAATATTTTCTGCACCTAAATATGCATGGGCCTGATTATGGGTATGTGGAAAACAATTCTGTACTCATAGAAAAGGATGAGTACTCAAATATCTTTGTACCCTTAAATACCTCCCTCCCCCCCCCTCCCAACACACTCCCATACTCCCACCACAGGGTTTCCTTATTTATCACCTAAAATGGAATATGAAATGGAAGAGAGTTAAGAAAGCAGCACTGAATGAGAATGGGTTAAATGCCAAACTATCTCATTGTGGGCCCCTCTTTATGACTCACCACCATATTGTTGTTCAGTTGCTCAGTGCTGTCGGAATCTTTGCAACTGCATGAACTGCAGGACCTCCAGGCTTTCCTGTCCTTCACCGTCTCCTAGAGTTTGCTCAAACTCATGTCTATTG